AGCAGGAAGACAAGTGTATAAATGTAATCAGATGTTATGCAAACCATTTGATACATTTTTAAGTGCTAGTGGTTTGAATTTGTTTGAGAAGCATGTAAAATGCAAATGATCCCGCCCACACATTTTTAGAATAAATTAAAATGCACTTAACGTCGTATTTGTTAGTCTTGTCCTAATAGGAAGCCTATGTGCTCTGAAGTATGTATGTGTGTATTTAAATGGCATTGTTATTCCACCTGCTCTGAGGCTGAATTCCAGCTGCTTTCTACCCACTCTTCTATTTTCCCTAATTCAACCCCCTTGTTCTTTTCGGACTCAACTGAGATGTGTTTCGTTTTAAGATTTTTTGACAAGACATTTTCCTTGTGGTTTAGATAGAGATTTTCATGTGAAGAAGTAGTCTTTTCAAACTTGGCTTATTGTTGTCCTTGAGCTCTTTGAGTTGCCAGAACAAGGGCTGAAAAACTGGCCAGATACATCCGAGAATATGAGCATGAAAGTGTCCCTACACTGTGTATGACTGGAATCACGCAAATATTTCTTAGTAGTATTTTTTTCCCGATGTGAAGACATTTTTGGAGTGCTAAGAAGCATTTTGCCTTGATTTAATCATTCAGAGGACATTTGAAGCTTGATAACTATTTTGCATGCCTTGAGGAAGCCATATAATATAGCTGGTAGCACTGCTCATAAACAGCTGTGTGGATGAGGGGAATAAACATAGGACATAAACCTCAGTGTTTAATTTCCATCGCTGCTCCTCCTTGTGACAATCCTGTACACATAAAATATGGAAAATTTTATTTAGCTATCTCACAAAACCCATCTTTCATGTTGATAAATATATTTTTGAGGGACTGGAGAATTTAAATTTTAAATAATGTAAGTACTTAAGGCAGCATCCCAGAGATTGTCACTGTCAGATTCAGGATTAAAATCTCAGTCTCTAATTTTGTTATCCCCTGTCAAATCCAGTAAACTTCATGGCCCACAGTCAATTAACCTCTCCATCTTAGAAGACTAATAATGCTTTCACTCAAAGGAGGTTTGAGCTGTATTTTGTTAATGTTTGCATAGCACTTGGAAAGTATTAGTTGTATATAGATGCCACCTAATGTTATTTGCAGTGTCTCTTTTAAGCCCAAAATGTGTAAAGGGTCAGAGAGGAAAATTACTGAGTAAAGGAAAAGCATCTGTGCCATTGGGTTTCCTGGCTGTTGGGAAGTGAGAGAGTATCTCAGAGTATATACAGTGGTAAAATAAGAAGGCAGGTGAGGAAGAAGTGTGTCTAGCCAGAAGGAGTTTTGGTAGTGAGAGAAGCAAGAGAAGAAAAAGTCTTGAAGATGTAAACCTATGCAAAATTGTCTCCCCTTTTTCAAGCTGTATATCATGCATTTAAGTGTGTAAATATTTCAAGAAAGGCCTCTGGAAGAATTCCACAGTCATCCAATGCCTACAAGCAGATTTCTTCCCTGTAACTTCCCACCTTATTCTATTTGCTCAACTTCTTTAACACTATCTCTTTTTAAAATTGTGAAAGTTTACCAATTCTGGATTGAGTTTGAATTTCCTCTTTTTTTAACTTGTTCTAATGCTCAAGTCCCATCACCCCTTTTCTACCTGTTTTGGTTGTCATATTACTATGGATGTTTTAGAAAACTGAAGTAGCAATTTTCAAACAAAAGACCTTTAAAATTTGGTTTGTTCCTTAGATCTCTTAAAATTTTTCAGACAGCTCATATGCATTGCTTCACATTTTGAAGAAAATCGCATCATTTTTTTCCTCTTTATCTGTGTGTGCAAAGTAGAAAGGTCAGATGGATGGATTTATTATTTCATACTTTCCAAATTGTGGAATTTACCTACATGTCTGTGTTGAGACTTCAGAAAATTTCATAAAGTGTACATTTGAAGGAATAATATGATCCAATACGAGGAAATCTATTACTGATTATTTATTCTGTTTAGAGTATAAGTATTTTTGTTAAATACTATGCAGAACTTTATTTTTGCTGTACAAAACCTTGATAGACATCATGACGTAGAAACTTGTAATTTAACTCAGTGTTTTGAGTGCATCTTTCTTGTTTTATGTATTCGTCTAGGTTGCTTTTACAGTTCTATTTGATTTAGAAGCTCTTCTGAAGATCTGGTGTTTGGGATTCACAGGATACATCAGCTCATCTCTTCACAAGTTTGAGTTGCTGCTTGTAATTGGAACCACTCTTCATATTTATCCAGACCTCTATCACTCTCAGTTTACATATTTTCAGGTATGATCAGCTACTTTTACATTTTACCCTATATACCAATTAAAAGCATTACCTATGAGCATTTTGCTCTCATTTACTTCCACTCTTAGACTACTGATGTTCTCACAATAATTATTCATTTTGAGAATATCTTTAAAATAACAAATATGTCTGTTCTTAACTATGTTTATTGGGTGGATTTAGAGAAATAGGATTATTTCGAACTTTGCTCAGAAGTCCTTTCTGTGTTCAGTAAATCCCTTTTCTTATCTGAGCTACACTCTTCAGTAGGTTCTGCATCAGTTTATTCATTGTCCTTCATTGAGCCTTGACCTTGCATCCAGCTGTTTAGAGCATCACCTTCCTGTAGCGTCCACCACTGCTTTCCTGGCTTCTGTCCCTGAGGCCTCAGTACACTTGCTGTTGCTTCTCCAAATTTTCATCTCTGTGGCAGTCGCGTGCCTCAGAGTCTCTGCTGCAGTTATTGGGGATATTCTGATGTCATTTCTCCAGAATCATCTTACAGCTGTTTTTTATAGCTCTCCAACCATTCCTTATCTAGAGGGAAAGTGTGTTTATTGAGACTCTTCCTACATTTTCACTTTGGGGAAGAGCAGGAAGGAGAGACAAAGAAAGACTGATTAATTCAGACTTCTGAGTCTTCCTCTGTCGCCAGTCTGACCCATTCTGCTTTCATCTTCCTTGAAGCGCTTAGGGTTGCTCCAGTTGTGGGAGAAAGCAATGAGATTCATTATAATGTGTTATATTCTACAGTACTAAAAAAGGGATTAAAAAAAAATATATATATATAAAAGGTTTGGTATCTGTCCATTATTCAGCAATTGATTGGCATGGTGAATAATTAATAATCAATAAAGGCAAATAATAAATCATCAGGCTGAGTCCTGTCAATAAATGTGATTAGCTACAGTGACACATAGTGTGATTTAGTACAATATGGGGAGACCAGTCTCTCCAAGTGCGGGTTAAATATGATGTCTTTCTCAGACTTCTGCAAATGCCATCCTGTATTTTTTCTAAATGTTTCTACAAATCTGCTCAAGAAAGCTTTCAGGATGACAAATTCTATTTTTCTTTCACCTGGTATCATTTGAAGGCTTTTAGACGGTTATAGCTTTGATTTTGCTGTCCAAATATGTAAAATGTTGTTATTCAATGTGGCATGATATTTCTAACCTGCAAGAAAGGATGGTCTATCAGGAGTATGTGGTTGCACTCTTGTGTCAAAAGCACACAGGAAACCTAGCCGGGACCTCTCAGTTAAAACAGTTAGCAACTTTGTTAATAGTTGGTCCATATTTATTAGGGCATAGTCCACTTAATATCTGATGTTTTTTAAGTATAAATTATGAAAATGTTGGACTAAATGGGTAACATTATCACTAACTCATAGGACTCAAAGTATAATTAAAATGTAGCCAGATGTTGATAATAAAATAGTAAGTCTTTTCTTTTTAATGGATATAATTAGTTTTGTGGGGCGGGGGTGGTGGTAGGTTTTTTTGGAAAAAGTGCTAACTTTTACAACGGAAAATGTCAGGATGTCATTTTTTTTCCCAAAATATACGAGACATACATTTTACAAGCAGAAACACTTGCTACACTGTAAGATTTGGGTTGTATTTTGCAATCCAAATCTCCTAAGAGGCAAATGACAGTAAGGTTGGAAAATACTTTACCTTTGATGTCAGTGTGTAAGGGAGGTATGCACCAGATTCCCCCGCAATTAAGCTTCTGGGCAAGCTAGATAACACATTTTCAAATCAACCAAGGTCAAAAAGTCTTTTCCACATGGATACGTCTTGACGTTAGGCAGATTTCCAGGCCTTTAGGTATTAATGATGACAGGTTAAATGTGTTCCTTGTCAGCCAACAAAACAGATTACTGAAAACAGAAGTCTTATTTGACACATTCCAGGATAGCGAGCAGAAATATCATTTGGCTTATCTAGTCTTCCTTAGCATATATTTCAGTCTGCATTATTCATTGGTCTTTATCATTGCCTTTTGCCAACACATCATTCGCTCTTAACCACGTTGGCTACTGTCCACCCTCCCACCTATCTTTCTCGCATTCGCTGTCCATTCATTCAAAACACTTTGCAAAGCCCTCTGTGAAAGACTACAGCAAAGCACCATTCCATGGCTGTAATCTATAGAGCACAAAATCCATGGAGAAATGACAGAATTTGCATATTATTGCAAAGATCTGTAATGAACTGTCATAAAAGAGAGAGATTTAAACAGAATTTGACCTGTACTGGACTGAAGAGATGGTATTGTATTTGCGCTTGGGGAAAATATTGCTGAGTCATTTTCTGAATAAATATCGTCCCTTTTCAGAGATGTAGCCATTCTTTGTAACAAAGCTGTGGCTCCTCTTTTATATTTTTTCATTTTGATTTATTTTTTTCCATATTTTTATATTTAATCCAAACAGTGCACCTTCTGCAGCTCTTTAATACAATTTGTGATCCAATTACGTAGAATGCATCAATGTTCATTAGAGTGTACTTTTGCTAGATTCAATTTGTCACCTAATGAAAATAAATGAAAAAAACAAACAGTATCAATAAGATTAGTGTGTTGCTTAAAGGTCAATTAAAGTTTCCCAAAGGAAGGGGCAAAAAAAATAAGGCAGATAACACAGTTTAGCTAAAGTACAGCTCAGAATACTGACTAGCATGAAATCTTCACCCCACTGCAGTCAGTGTTTACACTAATATTGATGGGAACAGAGCTAACATTTACACTGCGAGTAGATCATCTAAGTAAGAAGGCATCGTGTTTGCATGTTCATAGTACTTGGAAATCTGGCTTATCTCACTGTCTGTCACTCTCTTGGCGACCAGTTTCATGTACTCAGATTACATGTAATTTGATTGTGGTACCAATACGAAAGAAAGGACCTTATCTCACCTTGTTCTACTGGTGTGAAAGTTAAGCTGTCTAGTGTCTAGGGCCTTTTCAAACCGCTGAAGACAGTGAAGGCCTTTCCCATCTCACACAAGGGGTCTGGTTATGTTTGGAATAAGTTGCTCTCTTGAGTTGGCTTTCTCTCTCTCTCCCCTTTGACAGTAGAGCCTAGATGACTACCATATTCTGCGTACCTGACGGATAGGTAGGGAGATGAATTTCTTTCATGCAAAATGTAAAGGTGTACATTATTAGCAAGCTATAAGGCACAGTGAAGTCTTTCTGAAAACAACTACTATATCCTTCTGTCAAACTTATTTTCTCTCCAAAAGCAGCCCAGTAATTGTATTTGACTTGTACATAAGGTCAACCTATAATTGCACTGTAATTCCTACCTTTCAGTTTCAATATGATTCTTGCAGAAATACAGGCAGTACCTTGGGCTAGAGAGTCTTTTTCTTCATAAGAACTGCAGAATCTCATTTGCCTCATATACTCCTGTCTGTTGTCTCCAGCAACTGCTGTGGCTGCTACGGCCTCTTGTTGATACTGATATGTGTCACCATGAGTGGCAGAAATAGGAGGATCTGAGCTCTCAGCAGTTTTTCCAAGGTGGAGTCAGCAGTGAATGGGTTAGGAGTTCCACGCGCGATCACAGTTCTGCTGCCACTACCAATACTGAGAGATGTCCAGTATGTCAGTGGCACACAATGCTGTTTCATCTGATACTGAGAAATGCTGCCCAAAATCTCCCTTGTTGTATATAGTACGAAGTAGCAAAATAATGTTCATTACCAAACTTCCTAGGTTACACAGCAATGCCAAGCAATTTGGTGTTGGGGCACGGAAATGAAAAGATGACTTGTGGAAGAAGAGTTGGCAGTTCTTTATTAGACTATGTAACCTGGTGTAACAAATAACATAGAATCATAGAAGAATCTAGGTTGGAAGTGATCTCTCAAAGTCATCTCATCTAGCTTGCTGCTCAAATCAGAGCTTTCTTCAAAGACTGTTCAGGATCCTGTCCATTTAGAATAAGTATGAATTTTTAACCGTGATGATAATCAAACTGGAGCAATTGACCTAGCACTGCAATAGATTCTCAGTTGCTAAAACTAGACTGATATATTTTGACTCAAGCCTGAAGCCATTCTTCTGTTTGGTACCACACTATAAACCTTCATTGGTCTGTAATTCCACGTTACATTCAGATTTACTATCTGTGGTGTGTTTTGCCTATGTCTTTGTTCCCTTTGTTACCCCCAAAACAGCTTTACCTAGTTGTGTTTCTGTGATGACTGTTGGTGATCGGTGAGTTGATGATAGCCTTGGGGGGCCTTGAGTATCCTCCCGTGCCTGTACTCTCAAGACCTCTGTGGTCGTCCCATGCCTGTATGCCTCGATGCTGCATTTTATGAAAGGGTCATAGATAGCTCATTCTATGCAAAATTACAGCTTGTTATTACTACATGTTAGAAAAAAAAAGAGCTATGTAACAATAAGCATTACCACACAGAATCATAAAAAGCTAAGCAGAAGACGGAGTAGGTTAACAGTTACCTCATCATTAGGTGACCGCTGTTAATAGCTAAAACAAATCTCCAGGCAGGCCAGGATAAGTACAGACAAAGTCTGACAGGTTCCAGGGCTTGTGTTCTTAACCTAACACACAACTTGCGGTCTGTTAGAAGCAGTGGCAACCTGATACTCAGCGGGCTACAAGGCTACAAGGCCCTTTTTGGCCTTGAAGTCTCCGATCCTGTGAAAAGTTGTTGATTAATGTGATAATCAACTAATTAATACAGTTGCATTTTCTCTTTCTTTGCAGGTTCTTAGAGTAGTTCGGCTTATAAAGATTTCTCCTGCTTTGGAAGATTTTGTGTATAAGATATTTGGACCTGGAAAAAAACTTGGGAGTTTGGTGGTATTTACTGCCAGCCTTTTAATCGTAATGTCAGCAATCAGTTTACAGATGTTTTGCTTTGTGGAAGAACTGGATAGATTTACAACATTTCCACGGGCAAGTATAAAAAGCATTGATTACTCATTGCTTATTATTATTTTCTTATCATTGATATATCATATTTGTTATTATATTAGCGGTCTTCCTTTCCTTCTGAGAACCGTGGAGCAGTTTATCTCTGTATGTGTAGATGAAGGAATTGTATTTTCTGGGTGTGACAGTCTTCCTGTAGTCCTTCAGTAGTGAAGTTTGTCTTTCTTTGGGTTAGGTATTGTGTTTCTGCTGTTGAGGGAATATAGTGAAATTTTATGTATGCACCCTGATGGTGACACGACAAAGCGTATGGCTTAACAGTACTGTAGCATGCTGCAGAAAGGGGATTCATGCACAATCATGAATATTAGCCACAAAATTTATATAAAACATGTCTACACATGATTTATATTTTCATATTATGGAAGTGGTTGTTCCTGATTTGTACAGGAATGCTTGTTTTACACAGGGTTATAGAACCTGTCTGCATGGACAAAATAAATGTTTGCCTTTGGGGTATAAATAATGGATATTTATGGGCATTGCATTAATTCAGAACAGAACATTGAAAATCAGTGGAAATTGGAGCTAATGTATTTATTGAAGCACACTGTTCTGAATGAAAATACTGCCTTTTCTTTAATAATGGATTAGACTGAGTGTACATGGATTGGTTCCAGTGACAATTTATTTGTTTCTGTCATTCCAGTTTGGTTATCCAATGTATCTATTTTAGTGAAAGTGCATTGGTGAGAACAATTAAATAACAATGAATAATGCAGCCTCAAGGGTCACGCATTTAGCAAACAAAATGGCTAGGCAACAATTTGTAATTATCAACCTGGACTTGATGTATGGGAAGCTGGCCATCAAATGTAAGACAAAAAATACCTACCCACAGGGAATAATGTGACACCATGCTTTCTATTTCAGAAGACGTGCTTAGAAAAGCAGCCAGGAGGATCATTAAGAATTCAGTATAATTCATTTTCTAAATGCTGAAGAAAGCAAAAAGAATATAATAAAACTGAAGCTTTTCTAATGAAGTCAGGCCTCTGTCTCTACATTGAGTGATAGTACCACCTTACTGTATACCCAACTGCCATTAGAACTTCTGAAAAAAATTTCCAACTGCAAGTTTGAAATCATGATGGAATTCGGTTTTAGAATTATTTTTATTATTTATGCAAAGTGGCAATGACATTCCTGAAAGAATTATTGTAGTATAATTAAAATAAGACAGTTTTACAACCACCTGCACTTTTTAACTAGATAAATTGGTATAAGTATCTGAGAAAGGTCCTCTTGCAGGAAAACATTGCCAAATATATCAAGACTTTAGTAAAGTTTTAGATTATTTTGGACATTTCAATCTGAGGCTCAGTCAGAACTATCATATTCAATTTTAACAGATACATGTATGTATTACATGTTTGAAGAGTGAGAAAATATTTACTCCAGTAAATTATACAGGTTTTTTACAAACAGAAAATATCCAAACTTTTTTTTCTATTTTCTGACTCAAGTTTTGGAAAAACAGAAGACCTGTAACCAATAACAAAGGAGTGTTCCAGCAATACTGAACTGAAATATTTTGAATACTTTTTATATGATAGCCAGAAGCAAGAGTCTCTCCTTATTTTTTAGTTATTGTTTATTTGTATACATATTCACCTCGTTATGAGTAGTCCAGAAGTATACTTTGTAGCATGTGGTTCCTTTTTGTAGTTTTCTAACAAAACATCTCTTAATACGGTAATAGAATCAGTGAAAATTTTGCACTCGAAAATTGTGATTGATGGTGTGAGTGGTGGGGTCCCTCCAAAGGAGCATGTCTTCCTAGCAAAGACTGGGGGGTTCCCACTGATGTTGTCCGCTCTGAGTAAAGACCGCTGAATCAGTTTACAATACCACAGTTATAAAATATGCGATTTGGGTTTTGCCTGGAATTTATTGTTTTCAAAATGTGACTGAAGAAATACTTGCATTACTGTATAATGTAGGAGATGGTGTGAGGTCTGCATAAGCAGAATTTGCTACAATAAAGTTTTAGGGGCTTACCCCTAAAAAATAAGAATGAACCTAAAATAGCCAGGACTGTTACTGTGGACTTTTTCTGTTACAAGTACATAAAGAACAAGCACTCTAACGAAAATGATGACACTAGAGGCTAAATTTTGAGTTTGCACATTAAAGTGCCTTCTGCACTGAAACAGACAAAACCTAAAATCATTTTGAAATGGTAAGTGCTTTATAAGAAGGCACAGTATGGGGTTTGGAACAAGTAGACCTCCTCCTTTCGCTAATGCCTCTAAATTGCATGTTTTCACATGGTTTCCTGACAACAGTCAATAGGCACAAGCTCAGTGTTGCCATGGCTACAAATTTCACCCTTCTTTTGGCCATTGCAACTTTTCAAATGGACTGGCTTTCTCTCTAATGCTAAGTATAAAAATATAGATGTTTGCTATATTGTTTTTAACCGATCAGCCATCTCTATTTTTGCATGTCTTCTTGGGCTGCACATACTGAGCTATGAGAAGGACAGGGGGTGACTGGGCCCCCCAAAGAAGAAATAGGATGGGGGGGGAGTCTGTTTCAGAGGCATCACTGTCAGATGGCCACTAAGAAATTTTAAAATTCACCGTACAGAAGACAAAACATGTTGTTAGTGTCTCTGACTTCCATGCCCCGGTTTCTCTTGAGGTTTAGGGCCATGTGTTGACTACTCGATGTCTCAACTTACGAAGTCAGGAATACTGCTCTTCTTTTAAATGGGTCACCACAAGATGACAGCCAGGCCCAGCTGATCTCAGCAGCAAAAATCCCCCTGTCTTCAGCAAAATCAGGACATCGCTGCTAGCCTTGAGCTTGGAGAAAGCTCAAGCTGTGAAATGTTAGTTCAACCTGAGCATCATCCCTTAAAAAAGCTGAACAATGTAGTCTTGATTCTCATGCAGTTACAGTCTCGGTGCCACTGCCACATTTTTACAGGACAGCTGCTCTTCTCTCAGGCAATTAGTGAGTTCTCATGGCTGTGTTACAAGCAAAAGGTAGTTTTACACAGGTAGAGCAGATTGCAAGCATTTCACAGCACTGGCCTAAATCCCGTTAGCTTAATTTGCAGCAGTAATCCCACTGATTGTAGGACTGCTTCCATGAATAAGGCCATTGGGATTTGGCCCATAATATTTTAGAGACAAGCAGCAGTTACAAGTCAAGCACATTATAACTGTAAGTAGTAATTTGTGCGGCACCACCCCTGTAGTAGTTGGACAAGATATCAGAACTGGCACTTCAGCTTGTGCATTCCACCAAACCTTTGCCAATCTTCCACTATAAATAAAAAGGTAGTTTGACTTCCATCATCAAAACAGCTAATTAAGTAATAGGGCATAAATACTCAAAGAAATTGACAGTCTTTTCTATAACACAAATTAATTCAGAAAATCACCATTTGCATAAATCTCTCAGTCTCATCTTCACAGATGTTGATTCTGTCAGCTAGTTGCATTTCAAATTAATTTTAAAATAAACAGTGGGAAGTATACCTTTCAACTAAAAATAACTCGCTCCGAAGGAGATTGCTGGGTGCAAAGCACATACTCATTCTGCAGTGCCATGTTTTCTTAAAACTAATGCTTTATCATATACTAGACTTTAATGTTGTAATAAAATCTTTAATTTATATTGAAAGGCCATTTTATATGACTATATGCTTTAGGGACAACTGGTTTAGATGGAAAATTAGATTTTTATGATGTTAAAAGACTGTCTTTTCCAAATTAATCTAGTGCATGTATTAATGAGGCATCCACAACATAGTATCGGAGGTGTCTTTATGCCTTGAAGAATTAATTAAAATACAAATTTTTAAAAAGCAATAAACTATAGTAATTTAGTGTGATTCACAAGAAAGGATACTGCACTGGTTCAATGATCCAGTACCTCCGGTGTTTTCAAAGCCAGCAGTGGGGTGTATTACTTACTGTAGTGCCCACCTTATATTTCAGCAAGGAGACTCACACCAGCCAGGTAGGACCACCACTGCCTCCAGAGGTGCTCTGAGTACTGGGAAACAGCAACCGCCTGGTTTAGCTTCACCTCCCCATCACAAAGGGAAACTGAGAAGCAGTGCTGGGTACTGGTGGGGTGGTTGGTTGTCTTCTTCACCCTGGAGCACCACTGGCAGCTATAAAGGAGGCTGAATTTCCTGCTTGTTTCACACATGCTCCTCTGGCTACAGAAGGCCTCTCCTAGCTAAAGTTTTGAAATGTTTCGTTCCCTGCGTGGGGGGAGACTCGAGGTATTGTGCAGAGCTTGATAATAGTTCTTGGTGTTTTGTTGGTTTGGGGTTTTTTGCAGGGCTTTAAACTGGAAGAGGGCAGGTTTAGATTAAACATTAGGAAGAAATTTTTCACTTTGAGGGTTGTAAGGCACTGGAACGGGTTGCCCAGAGAGGTTGTTGAGGCCCCATCCCTGGAGGTGTTCAAGGCCAGGCTGGACGTGGCCTTGGGCAACCTGGTCTAGTGGGAGGTGTCCCTGCCTATGGCAGGGAGGTTGGAACTCGATGATCTTCAAGGTCCTTTCCAACCTTAACCATTCTATGATTCTATGATTTTTTGTAAGGAAAGGAATCGCTACTAAGGGTCTGTAACGTTGCGCAGTGTAAGGAGTCTGTGTGTGTGGCTGTGAGGAGGCACTAATTGGAAGGGAGGACCTGGCCACAGGTCAGCAGCAGGCTAGTTAAGGCTGAGGTTACTGGCAGGAACATGCAAGTGGAGGGCACTGTGCAAATTCCAGTCCTCATATTTAGACTCTCATAACACACAACATAGCAAAGACATAAAGGATTTACAGAAAGGTAGTTGAAAGCAGTTTTCTCTGCTGCTTCTAGTTTATGGAAGCCTTTGTTCTCTGGGGGATCTGTCTGTTCAAAGGAAAGGTTGGGATGTTACATTTGGTCAAGATGTTGCTGGTGTAGAAGTTAAAATATTAAGTTTGACTTCATCTCCTGATGTGTGCAATTGCTTACTTGGATGCCTTGATCTGTTCTATGTACACCTTAGCTTCACTGCTTGTAAGCGATTTGGACTTGTAGGCTTAATCATCTCTGAAAAATTTATTAGTATGATTTAATTCTGAAAAGCATCTGTAAAAATAGCTCTCAAACTCCTTGGCCATAGCCTCTAACGGTGTGCTTATGCTTCAGAGTGCCACAGAACAGAGCAGCAATAAGAAACCGAGCTGGATTCTGGTGTGGGGTTGGTTGGTTTTTTTGTGAGCACCAGCAGGCAAATTTTTTACAAAGCCCTTAGCAGCTAAGTGTTTGAGACCCCTCTAACAGAGTAAAAGTGCACAGTTCTTCCTCTGGACATCTGGAGACACCATGACCCAATTTTTATTACTTTCAAATATGTACTAGTTATAGTGGACAGAGGAGAAAAAGCTTTAGTCCTGGGATCCTTATCAGTGGTCAATGAAAGAGGGCCATACACTGAGCTCAAGCACTGGCCTCCTGGTATTGATACTGCTTAGTTGTTAATTTTCTTCCTGCTTCCAGTGAACTCTCTCCAAGGCAATCCCTGGGATCGGGCAGGGGAATAGTTCTCTCCAACTGGGCACTCCAAAAAGGCAATACCTTTTATGCAGTGCCTTGCATAACCAGATGCACCAGATTAGATTGTCCCTGCCTTACCCAGCCCTCCTACACCACCCCGGCAAGCTCTGCACTTGCAAGTCCTCCTCTCAAATTTTAAGCATAATAGCGTGCACCCTTGATTTCACCATACAGAAACACTAGTGTGGCAAGTTATGCCACATCCTTAGCATTACTTCAGACAGATGGAATCAGCTCCTTGTCACCAAATAGTAATGATGTGTTACAGCCACAGGGATACCACATAGGGTGAGGAGGAGATGCAGGACAAAGTGCTATATGCATGTCCGCAGGCAGTCTGCTCTAGAGTAAATTGGCCAATGCTGCAGGGTAGAAATCACAGCCTGGAGTGGAATCCCTTGAGGGTGTAGGTGTAACCTTAAGGGTCCTGTTTACATTGGGAGAAACTGCTCGGAGAAGACATTGTTTTGTTCAGAAAATCTGCAAACTTGATAAGGAGCCCAAGCAAAGTAAGTGCCTATAGTTAATGTTAGTAATATAAACTTGAAGTCTCCCCCCCCAAGTCAGTTTTGCCAGCAGCTTTAAAAATTAATTAGAACCCATTTTACTGTTTTTCAAGCACATAAGCTCATATAGCTACATGTTTTCAGCTTTTCCAGCACGCATTTGGGCTTAGGGTAAGCTGATGCGAAGGACTCTCCAGGTACTGTTTTCTCATGGGTCTGACAAGAAGAGTCCTGTTCTCTTTGGGCCAAGTGCATTATTGTGTTAATCAGCGATTGCTGGGGGTGTCAAACACACTGAGCATTGACGTAATATACCTTTATCACTGTGTCAACATTTTGAATTAGAGGAATCCTGTTACCTGGAGCTGCATTGTTAATGTCTTCATTTTCTAACACTTTTTTGTTATGTATTAAACTTCAGTAAGACATCAGCTTTGATCCTTGCTGTCTGGAAAGAGAGTTCCTTTGATCTCAGGCAAAAGCAAAGGAAACTTGTGCAACAGTTCGACCTCATTGAGAGATTTCAGACTATCAAGATCCGCACTTCACTTTGATACTACAGTCAAACTTCGGTGGCTGAGGCAGAGCACAGTCCTCAGTGTCTGTGTATGATGCACTTGTCACCTTCACACATTCTTCATGTTGAGTTAGACTCTGGTCTGTGCTGTAGGTTCAAGTTGGGGTTTCAAAGGTCTAAGACATCTGGGTTCTGCATTTATCTGGATTCATTTATTCCTATGACCAAAGACAGTTCGTTGAAACATTTCCATTATTCCCTCTATTTTTGACATGTACCCCTGCTCTGAAGGGATGCGAAAGTGCTGCAGGAACAGTTCTACAAAGAATGCTCTTTACAAAATGTATAGGGGAAGCATCTGACTGACTGAAACAAATGGAAGTACTGGGACCTTGCCTTGTATTGGTTAGTCTCCTCTGTGGAGTGCCTAGAATGCTTCTGCTATTAAGATAACATGTATGGTCACATTTAATTGTAACACTTTATTACAGATATATTTATAGAGAGGTAACACAGAAGAATAAGCATAATCAAAAAATCACAATACGGTATAATACTCAAAACAATGATCTCTGGTGCTCAGGATATCACTCCTATTTTGTCAGCCCTGGAGGAAACAAAAAAGCGCTTTGTATGGGCTAGTGGAGCTAGGACTATGTTTACAAGTTGCAGATTACAGTTCAATCAAAGGTTAAGCTACTTATTTCTCCTTTAGCTCTGGAATAGCATTTCTCCTGACTTTAAAAACAGAAATACATTTGTTTATTAAGATTTAAAAAACAAGCCAAAACAGGTGTTCTGCTCTGTTAAATCAACTTGAGGAATGTGTCAATAAAACATTAATGTAATTTGTGAATTGTTAATGTGTTTGTAATTCTTTTTCTGGCAGGCGTTCATGTCAATGTTTCAGATTCTCACACAGGAAGGATGGGTGGATGTCATGGATCAGACACTGAATGCTGTAGGACATATGTGGGCACCAGTAGTTGCTATTTATTTTATACTGTATCATCTTTTTGCTACTCTGGTAAGTCTTCCCTTGCAACTGTGCTGTGCTTTTCTTTGGTTTGAATTATTCTTATAGCTCTTGTATTACTTATTTTTCTCAGCTAGTTAAAACTAATTGTGATGCTCATTTTCAGCATAGAGGGCTTTCGGATTAGATCTTTGATGTGGTAGAATTTACCCTTCAACCCTGTGGCATAAGGAGGTGGCCTTTGTTCTGGTGTGAGGTGGTGTTCTTCATAAGATCCAAGTCACGCTGCTAGACTAACAACTTGTTAGTAACAATTGTTAACTGTCTTGTACCTTCACAGTTCTAATGATTGCAGAGTTAAGCAAGTGCTTTTATTCATCATGTAGAAATGGTCTCCTCAGCTACCATTGCATTCTCTTTGCAGCAGTAATTAAAGTGAAAAGTGTAAAGCCTCGGGATATAAACTCTTAACTAGAAATCACTTCTTTCCTGTTGCCTGATGCAAAATCAATGCATGTAAAATATATCACATAGTAGTATATCAATCAATAAAAGGATGAGAACTAATGCAGCAGTTCCCGTATGTGTATGGAAATGGGTATTATATCTAAAAAAATATTTTTTCTGTATTCATTTCAAATGGGGTGATTGCATTTTTGTATAGAGAAAATTGTAAGGAAAACAGCTTTTTGGATATCCTCTATCAATAAGGGCTTGGTACTGTATTTTAAATACCAACACAGAGAAAATACTACAATCAGGGGAATAACCAGTTTGCGCACCCTTAATTCACTTCTACTTTTGCTCATTTTGTATTATGAATTCAGCGCAGGTTTTGATGCATTTACTCATATTTTCACTTTTTTCATTCCATTTTCTTCCTTTGCTTGGTTGTCTACTTATATAAGGTACCAACTGTATTTGTACAATCTCCATCAGTTTCCATCTGCTTCTTTCCTTTTACAGTATGTCCTGTTTCACTTCTGAAGACTGAATAATCAAACTGTAGTTGTGGGTGCAGCCGTTTCCTTCATAAGGATTGAAATCTTAACCATTTTCTAAATGGCAGTAAAGTGCATTTGATGCTCTTAGAGCTTCTTAACCAAATTAAAGTGTAAGCCAAACAAATGTACATATCAGCAGATATATAGGACATGTAATTTCCTTGCAAGGGTTAGAGGAGTCCTTGGGGTCTGGAAAAGCAACTTTTCATGCTGAAGTGATCTTTAAAACTCCTTGGGAAGTGGGGATAAAAAACAGAAGGGAAGTGAGTTTTGGTCATGGATTTGAAAATAGGTACCTGTTAGAGAATCTTATTGCTGTTTTTCTGGTTCTTCCCTGAGAACATTGTCTGAACTGGAATCCATTTTTATTTCTTAGATAAGCATTAAGCAAGTCCATAAAGTAAATTAGTGTCAGGTGGCTTCTGGGCTAAAAATTCACACCTTAATTGAGAAGTAACTTAGCTGTAAGAGCAATTTTAGTATTCTGCTATATGTTTCATCTTTTGAAAGAGTCATTTGGGACTTCTCCATTTGTTTACTCAAAGCAGTTATTTTGCTAGGGACGAAGTCACTTTTCAGTACACCATCCTCAGTCCTTTTACAGGGAATTTGCATTTAAGTACATGGTCCTTGTGTTGCTTCCTAAATGTATACATTTCTTCTCATTCACCTATGCAAATTTTACATGGATGAAGAAACTGCTAAGACAACTTTGCAGAATTAACCTGGCCCTTAAGAAGTTGTTAGTTTCGGTTCTAAGATCTTCCTCAGATCCTGAAAGAGAAAAGCTATGTAGGACAGAGTTGTCTAGAGGCAAAAGAAGCTTAAAGAAAGAAAATAATGTGGAATTGGTAAAGGAGCATGAAAATGGTTGGGCTGCTACTAAAACCAAAAAGAAGGGTTCTAAGAATAAACAGCCGTCAGTGAATAATAAGAGTGAAGTCAAATGAAGAAATGACTTTCACCAGCCAGAAGAGGGGGAGGATTAGAATTGAGAAGTGATAATTGCAGACATTTGGCAAACCAGACTGTAGAGCCTTGGAAAGAGATGAATACGTTTCACATTAGAAGGCAAAAAAGTTGAAGCTCAAAATACAAAACCTCTGTTGGAAGCAAGGACTGTTATTAGTTGAGATGGCAGCAGAGGAAGTTAAACAAATAACAAGTTTGCATTTAACCTTTTTCTTTGATTCTTGTTGGAAAAAAGTGTAAAGGGAGTTAATAGAAGTCTTGATGCCTTGATACATATCTGTGCATGAAACAGCAAGACTGTAAGTGGTCATGTATTTAATGAGGACTGTACTTCTTTTTAGTGTGGAACTCTACTTCCTTAACTAGTGTGCTCTAACCTGCAGGTACTGGAGTATCATAAACTGCATAAAGTATCTGAAGAAAAACACCATACTGTAAAATCCTGAAAGACCGATAGCAAAACTGTTCATCAGCAATTAGGGATCAAAGTAGTTTGTGCCAGGGATTATGTGTTTTACCAGAATTCTGTATGGCTTTGCCATTCTGAAGGCCATCTTAACTTCCACTGTTCATAGTAGTCAGATCATTGAAAACTGTATGAGGTGCTGTTTAAGTATGTGGCATATATAATATGCCTTTTCAAACAGCTGTGGGAAATTCTGCATATTGCTAAAAACAGTTTCCTATTAAAAGAACATCTATTTTTCTGAACACTGACATTTTATAAATTTATGGGTAAGAGTACTTCTTGTGTCTTCTGTACCTTTATAGCTCATGGAGGGAAAGGGAATCCTGCTGTAGAACAAAGTCCAGACACCCAGCTTAGATAGAGTTTGAGTTCCACACTCCTTGTCTGATGTACTAAGCTACTTAAATTTCATCTTCCATATAGGTGGGGAATAATTTTCCAATGTGATTGAATGACAGGTAAACTCACACTTCATTTAGAACAGTGGTGGACAGGTACATCTGCTCTGGTTGTAACTCAGTGGTCCCAGACCACACAAATACTTCAGGCCTGTAGCTCTTTTAAAAGAGCTTAGTTTCCTTCTGATAGCTCTGTGAAATTGGTGCTTGCCTATAGGAGCGCAGCATGTTTGAGGATATTTGCCTTGAACCTCAGAGACTAAAACCTTGGCAGTTGCTAACAGCTGTAAAGCTATGTATATACAAATTTACTGCCTGAAGATGTAAGTTGTCTGAGGATATATGTTGAACAGCGGTATCCTCCCTTGCCTACATCCTTGCTCTCCTAGTTCTGTCTCCTTCTTAGCTGTATCACTCACATTTTTGGCTTCTTTGGCCTCTGGTCAGTATGTCTACTCAAGGAAAATATAATAATTCAATATACACTTCCCTGAGAGTCTTCTTCCCAGGTGCATATCTACACAATATTTAATGTAGAGTAAAAAAAAGTTCATGAGTTTCCTGTACTGGTACTCCCAATTCATGCAAATAATGAGACAGCTTGCTTTTCTTTCAAAGTGGAGTTAGCTCTTTGCACAGAGGCACTCCGAGCATTAAGCAAATCCATAAAGTAAATCAGTCTTAGGTGGCCTCTGTGTTGAAAATTCACACCTTCATTGAAAAGCACCTTAGCTATATGAGCCGTTTTAGGATTCCGCTTTGCGTTTCTTTTTTATTATTATTAATTCTGATGAATTTAATTTTCTTTTCATGTGAAGTACATTTTTATGGGTATATGGTTAGACATACATAATGCATTGGTCATAAAACCTAGAATTCAAAAATTTTTATTTCCTATAATAATAGTATGATAAGCTAAAAAAATTACTACTTGCAAAACGGCAACAGACATATAGTAGCAGGTGATATTAGTTCAACAGATGTCAAAGGAAAGACTCCTATTTGCATCACTAGGGCCCTCATTTTTCCATGTCCTTTCGTAGTACTTCTTAAGAAAAATAAGACAAGCTTTAATATTTAATTTGCAATTGTTTTGTAGATTCTACTCAGCTTGTTTGTTGCTGTTATTTTGGACAACTTGGAACTTGACGAAGATCTGAAGAAACTTAAACAAGTAAGACCATGTTTTTATTGTGCTTGAAAGTAGCTTCAATAAAGCATTACTTTACTGGTGTTTTTATGGTAAAAGATGGGAAACATCTTCATCAAAATGAAAAAAACTGTACATGTTGAAGAGAATAGCAATATTTTATTAGACAGTTGACCATCACCGAATGTGAGGTAGAAATTCAAGTACTGTAAAGGTTATTTATAAATTGGTTTAAATATTTGATGAAAGTCAATTTAGGTAGTCATGTAATTAAAATAATTTTAAAATCACAGCTAGGTCATCTTTTTCCTTATAATCTAGTGAAAGAAGTCCCTCCTTAAAGGTCCCTTCCTGCCCAAACCATTCTGTGATTCTGTGTGATACTTTATGAGGACACCATAACACTGCTGCAGGAGAGAGTAATGGCCAAGGGTCCACAGACAGAAAGCCATAGAAGAGACTAGGTTGAATGTTTTAAGTGAGTGCTAAAGACACTTGGCAAAGTTAACTTGCATGATTAATTCTGCAGATTTGGGCACTAAGATTACCAAGAAGCCATTCTCTCATGCTTGAAAGCCCAAATGACAATCACATAGAACAAATGTTCTATGCGAATTCATGTTGACCATTCTGACCTTATGCACAAACCACCAGAGAGGAAGATATGTGTAGCTTTTACGTAAATATATAGCTGTGCTTTAATCTGCACAGAGGAGCAAAATCATCAACATTTGCCTATTTCATGCACGAAATACCAAATTGAGAGCTTAAAATGTGAGAACTTGTTTTTTAATATTTCGGTTATAGCCTTCCTTTACCCATAATTTGCTGGTTTTGTTCATCTTACAGGTGCATCAACAATTGTTGTAGAAATATGTTCTTTCAATAATTGAAAAATAAACACCCAATTTAGCATAGAATCACAGAATCATAGAATGGTTTTGGATGGAAAGGGCCTTAAAGATCATCTAGTTCCACCCCCCCTGCCGTGAGTCAGGGACACCACCACTAGACCAAGTTACTCAAAGCCCCATCCAACCTGGCCTTGAACACTTCCAGGGATGGGGCTTCCACAGCTTCTCTGGGCAACCTGTTCCAGTATCTCACCACCCTCAGAATAAAGAATTCCTGCCTAATATCTAATTTAAATCTGTCCTATTCCAGTTTGAAGCCATTCCCCCTTGTTGTATTGCAACAGCCCCAAGTCCTTCCCCATCTTTCCTGTAGGCACCCCTTAGGTACTGGAAGGCTGCAATAAGGTCTCCATGGAACCTTCACTTCTCCAGGTTGAACAACCCCAACTCTCTCAGCCTGTCTTCATAGGAGAGGTGCTCCAGCCCTCTCATCATTTTTGTAGCCCTCCTCTGGACCGCTCCAACACTTCCATGTCCTTCTTACGTTGGAGGCCTCAGAGCTGGACGCAGTATTCCTGGTGGGGTCTCGCCAGAGTAGAGTAGAGGGGCAGAATCACCTATCCCGAGCTGCTGCCATGCTTCTTTTGATGCAGCCCAGGATACAGCTGGCATTCTGGGCTGCAAGCAGATGTTACCACCTCATGTTGAGCTTCTCATCAATGAAGACACCCAAGACCTTCTCCTCAGGGCTGCTCTCAATCCACTATCTCTCCAGTGTGTATTTGTTGTTGGCATTGCCAGATGCTCATACATATTCCAAATGATGGGGTAGCCAAAAGGTTGGAAGGTAGCATAAGTGAGACAGCCAACCCAAACTAACCAAAGAGATGTTCTATATCATATGACATCATGCTCATCAATAAAAGGTAAGAGAAAGGAGGAGAGGAGAGGCACTCTTCATTAAGGCATTTCTCTTCTGGAACAAACACTATGTGTACTGAGGTGCTACTTCCTAGGCAGCGGCTGGATATCTCCTGCTGATGGGAAGTAGAGAATACATATTCTGTGTTGCTTTGCTTCCATGCGCCGCCTTTGCTTGTTCGTTATTCAACTGCCTTTATGCAGACCCATGAGTACTCTTTCATGTTATATTCTCTGCCCCTGGTGCTGCTGAGAAGGGGAGGGAGGTTGGGCAGCAAATACCATATAAGTCAATCTTGACCCACCCCTCCATTGTAACCTCAGCACCTCGTTCATGGACGGGAATTAAGCTGAATGAATGGTGTGGGGTTGGCCAGGGCTTTGCTAAGCGTCCCCGCATCCCTTCCCGAGCCCGAACACGCCCTGCAGGTCTTTTGTCTCAGAGATGCTTCTGCTGGCTTTCCGCCATTGTTGCCCCTTGAAGTACTTCTGAGTGTGAAGCCCGATGCCTGACCCTGTGACTGCTGATGGAGCACACTGCATGTGCACATCTGTGTGTGTGTGTGTGTGCAGTTGCTGTTCACATCCAAAGCAGCCTGAGGAGCACGTGCTCGAGGACATCCCCTGTGCTTGTTGCATGTGCTCCTTGGGA